CTGGCTATACTGTATGCCGGTTGGTAGGGGGATCCTCTGTTGTGGTATCTGCCTATTGGTTTAGGCAGCAAAGTGGTGCCACTATCTTGAGTGGCGAATTGGGTGCTTGCTAGCTTGATGGTCCAATGGGTTCCTTTCTGGACAAGTGGCCTGATGTCACGTGACCAACACCTGACAACTTCCGAATAGGGCAAGTGGCCAGTGTCACGTGACTGGGTGGCTGAATCATGGGCGCTTGGTGGTCATGTGGTAGACACAGTCATGTCCGTGATGTATGTGGTGGCATTGTGCTGTTTGTCCAAGTATCCACGTTGCGAGACCAATATGAAGGTTGGCGTCCGAATAACCACTCAAATGAGGACTTTAATGGTGCAAAAAGAAAGGTGCCACTTAATACTGTGACAGGTGGTGAGGGCAGCATGGGATGCAAAACTGGTGAAAAGGGCATGGAGTGAGATTGTGCTTCATCTAGAAGCCGATCAACTTGTCCACGTTCAGGGGGAGTGAGACCCGGAGAACATGTGGGATCAGCTCAAGGCTGTGCACATGAGCCGGGGGCTCGCCACTGATATCACGAGATGGAGGGCACTCCTAAATGCAGGTACGACCGCCGAAGAGTCAGTGGAAGGGTGGATTGATCGGGTCTGAGGGTTAGTGCGGGGCTTAGAGGCGATAGGCGAAGAGGTGCCGAAGAAGCTGCGGGCCATCATAGCAGTCGTTGGACTCCACGAGGAGCTCAATATGGTCGAGACGAAGCTCGACGCAGTCGACCGGAAGCTATGGACGATGGAGCAGGTAGCGGCGCTGGCGCTCAACGAGGAAGCCCGAGTAGGCTGGGGGAAGACCATGTCCGAAATGGCGCTAGCCGTAGCCGGTGGGAAGAAGAAGAGAAAGGCACGTGCATGCTTCCTCTGCAGGAGCACGGATCATCTGGCACTCGGATGTTCAGCCCGCACGAAGTCCTATAACGCCGGGGTCGCTAGCGACGAGGGATTTGCCTGGTAAGGCAAGAGGGGTGCAGGGATGGCTGGCTCGAGGGGGAGTGTTGGATTCTGGTGAGCTACGCCACACCGCTGGGATATCAGCCCACGGGTTGGGCTAAATGGGAGGCGCCGGGTGGTCTGTGCACATAGTGTCTCATGTATATGTAGGCAGATATAATACAGGGGGGGCATCGGTTTGCTTCTCGGTATACGTGCTTTACCCTACAGCTAGCCCAGTCTGGTGCGAACTGTCAACAGGGTGTCACAGTATTAAGTGGCACCTTTCTTTTTGCACCATTAAAGTCCTCATTTGAGTGGTTATTCGGATGCCAACCTTCATATTGGTCTCGCAACGTGAATACTTGGACAAACAGCACAATGCCACCACATACATCACGGACATGACTGTGTCTACCACATGACCACCAAGCACCCATAATTCAGCCACCCAGTCACGTGACACTGGCCACTTGCCCTATTTGGAAGTTGTCAGGTGTTGGTCACGTGACATCAGGCCACTTGTCCAGAAAGGAACCCATTGGACCATTAAGCTAGCAAGCACCCAATTCGCCACTCAAGATAGTGGCATCACTTTGCTGCCTAAACCAATAGGCAGATACCACAACAGAGGATCCCCCTACCAACCGGCATACAGTATAGCCAGGTACAGGATAGGCTAGATCTTCTCACAACCCTATCCAGATGAAGACTGATCGTCACACTCATTGTTCTGAGTTTGGACAGATCCTCTCATCTGATGTTGCAACCGTTGTGATGTGCTCTGTTGGCCATCACCCATTGGCCCCTCAACAGTGGGCCCACTTACAGGCATTTATCTCATTGGATTAGATAGGATTACCTCGGCGTATCCACGGCCATTGTAGATAGTTGCTATGACGAAGTCCAGAACCATTACCAGTTCTGGCAATATATTCACATGTAGGTATCTGAGGTCTCACAGTAGCACAGTGCCAGGGGCCCTGCCCTACATGTATATAAGCCCATGAGGATCTAAGGGAGAACCTTAGATTCATTATTCTATTGCATGCGGCCTAACAAGCCAATTCACCCCCTAGTTGTGAGCATAAGGCTAAGGGCCCTTTAAGCCCCTTTTCCAGACTGCATACCACTGCGCGCATCCTCAGCCTAGCCCTTGTGGCAGGCTTTTTATGTGGGATCATTTGTGCAGGTCACAAAAGCAGACTTGCCCTTAATTGGGTTAAGTGCTTTAGTGCTTTGTGACACCACCTCTATGGCCTTCTGCGTTTCAGCCTCGGTCGCGCCAACCTTGTACTCGAACTCCACGACCTCCCATAGCCCCTTCCTAGTCAGCTCAGCCTCCATGTACATCGCCCACTGTGCATAGTTGCTCCCGTTGAGCGGCATGAACTTGGCGTCCTTGTTGGTGGCTGCTGATTCAGTAGACATTGTCGAGAGAGAGAGATTAAAGGTGAGTGATCAGTTTGTGTTGACAGTTCGCACCAGACTGGGCTAGCTGTAGGGTAAAGCACGTATACCGAGGGGCAAACCGATGCCCCCCCTGTATTATATCTGGCTACATATACATGAGACACTATGTGCACGGACCACCCGGCGCCTCCCATTTAGCCCAACCCGCGGGCTGATATCCCAGCGGTGTGGCGTAGCTCGCCAGAATCCAACAACCCCCTTATCTCATACATCTCTTTTCGTAGCTCGTCGCACTCTCCTTCTAATGCAGAGATGCGCTGATATGCTCAACCGCGTCCTGGCCGTGAGCAGCGCTTCCTAACCAAGTCCCTCTGATCTTGGCAGGCAAACTGGGGCTCGTCCATTCGTGGTCCCTTTGGGGCTACGGTCGCAGGAAACTTCGGATGATAATGCAGCGACAGGCGGCCGTGAGTCGTTCAGCTGTGTGTGCTTGAAATGGAGTGAAATACCACGAAAAATGCGAGTCAGTGAGTGTCGGGTTCAATTATGGGGATAGGTCCGACTGGACAACAGTCGAAAGCTGAAGTGTGGGGGGTGTGTGGGAGTGGAATGCGATTGGCGACTCCTATGCTCGCAAAATGGTGATAGCTGAGGGTCTGGGCTGAGTCACGAGGACTAGCTACTTCTGGACGAAGCTGGGTAGGCACCGACAATGAAGCCCTAACTTCCTCTGAACTGGGTTAAGTGCCAATGACGAGTCCCTAATAGCTACCGAGCTGGAACGAGCGCCGACGACGAAGCCCTGGGCATCTAGAACTGGTACGAGCACCAACGAGGAACCCCTGGGTGCTAGCAAGGCTACGGGGTCCGATGGGGACAGGATCCTGGTTTGGACTCGTGACTAGTGGCGTGAGAGCAGCAGGCGATGGTGTGAGATGACAAAAGCACGATAACATGGCTTAACTGGCTGAAACCCGAGTCGAGCTGGAGGCCACTACTGAGAGTGCTGCCCCTCTTGGTGTCGAGAATCCCAGAGGTGTGAATGCGATCGCAATAGATGTAGACGTAGTCGGGCACGATGCCCTAGCGTAGACAAGACGAGAACTGAACCCTGCTG